ACACAGTTTCCATCTTTCTATAAAATTGGACAAAAAATGTGGGCAGAAAACTTTAAGAACATATTCTTAAGGCCTATTGCATACTTTCCCAGGCACAGACCTACAATTAAAGTCCAAAGTCTATTTAACTCCATCAATGGAGGAAAATATTTCATATACCAGCACAAATTAAACTGTCCTGAAGAATTTTCAAACGTGTTATGTGATGAGCATCATATTGTTATTGTGAAGTGCTATTGAGTCAATGCAAACTCATAGCGACCCTGAAGGAGCAGATAGTAAGTTTGAACTGCCAACCTTATGGTTCACAGTCCAATGAAAGTTTCTTTCAAGATTAAATAGTAGGAGAAACAAAAAATAGAGAACTACTATTTATAATACAAGGCAACTCTGGTAGTGTAGTGGTTACGAGTCGGGCTGCTAACCTCAAGGTCAGCAGTTCGAAACTACCAGCCATTTTCGTAGGAAGATGAGGCCTTCTGCTCCTATTAAGATTTACAGCCTCAGAAACCCTATGCAGGGTCGTTATGAGTTGGAACCAACTCCGGGGCACACCACCACCACCATCATTTATAATAAAAATAGGAGTCAGGCAATATATAGCAATAGTAGGCTACTTACTTTGCCATTGTTTCTGCAGACAGGTCTTCAGAATTCTTGACCTTTGTTTCACCTAAAAAGAAAATACTTTTACATTTAATTCCTAAGGATAGAATTATAAAAGTATGCTCTTTCAAAAGATCTCATCTTTGGACAATGAAATGAAGACTTTTCCATTTCATATGATGGGTTTAGCAAGAATTTCTACACTACAGACACAACATGATAGGTGACTGAAACCATCACAAACGAGAATAATCATAGTAGTTTAGCAAAGATTACATTCTCTACACATTGTTGTTGTTGTTTATGTGCCGTGGAATAATTTCCAACTCATAGCGACCCTGCACAGGGTTTCCGAGGCTGTAAATCTTTACAGAAGCAGAAAGCCTCATCTTTCTCCCATGGAACAGCTGGTAGTTTTGAACTGCTCAACTTGTGGTTCGCAGCCCGATTTGTAACCACTACGCTACCAGAGCTACACATTATTAGCCTCTACTTTACAGCACTTAACAACAACAAAGTACATGAGAGAAGGACTTTAATATGTTTTTAGTTATATATTTTAAAATACATTTTTTAGGTTACTAACCCAAGTATACATGGAAATGTCCAAAGGAAACAGCCTGGATTATTTTATAGCCATACTCACCATGACTTCGCAGATCCAAAGCCACAATCCTACACTGAACTCTACTAATGATCGCTGCCTAGGAGAAACAACAAAAAGAAAAGTAGTAAGATACACATGCATAGTAAATCTTGCCCAATTAGCAAGCATATGAGAATTCAGGGAACTCAAGAGAACCAAAAGAAGACTTCATTTTTAAGCAAAATAAAAGAATGACTATTTTTTGCTTCTGTGGTACATCTGTGGTCCCAACTTCAAAATAACCATTTTGCCCACATCAAATTCCTCGTTTAAACAGTGACTGAAACAGTGTAAGCACCTCTATGCAATGACTCTATGACCTCTATGATCTAGGATTTTCATCCTAGATATCTCTTCCCTATTACAGAAGCAGAGTGCTTTAGAGAAAAACTGTCAATCAGAATTGTGTCACTCCAAAATATGTGTTTTAAATCCTAGTCCCTATACATGTGGAGTCCTGGTGTGATGCTATAGGATAAGCACTTGACCACAAAGTTGATTTGCGAACTGCAAGGTTGGTGGTTCAACTCCACCATCAGCTCCTAGGAAACATACTGAGTCAGAACGGATTCCTTGGCACTTAACAACAACATACTAGTGGCTGTAATTCCATTTGGAAATAGGATTTTCTTTGGTATGTTAATGAGGATCTATCTGTATGGGCCTTAAAACAATCATGTTTAAAAATGCTGTATTTTGGTGGTAATATTCATGAAGAGTCCTGGTGTGGCACTTCAGGATAATGCACTGGACTGCAAGGTTAGTTTGAACTGCAAGGTTGGCAGTTCAAACTCACCAGTCACTCCTCAGAAACCCTACAGAGAGCTATGAGTCAGAATCTACTTTACAGCACTTACCAACAACAAAGTACATGAGAGAAGGACTTTAATATGTTTTTAGTTATATGTTTTAACCCTATTTAATCATTACTGCCCTATTCTCCCTTGTGTACGTACTCCTAGGACGTGTAGCTGAAGGACTTAGTGGATTTTGTTGATTAAAACTCAGAAGAAAGAGACAAGTTGGGAAGAGTAAAACCTCCCAGGAAAGAAAGCGTCCAGTGCTCAGGTGTCTTCAATAACACACTTCATTTGAAGGGGAAAAGGGAGTTACTCTAGAGTTGTAAAGGACCCTGAGCTGGAGGAGCACACATTGCAGTCCCAGATGGCAGGAGGGCATTGAGCTCTATGAAAGGAATGTGACAGTAACAAGTGGGTTAATACCCAGGAGAGTATAAAAACTTCAAACATATGAGGGAAGCCAAGGTAGTCTGAGAAGAATCTCACTGCCTTCCAGATCCATTAATAAAATGTTGTGTTGACTCCTATTCTATTATTGCCTGCAGCCACTGGCGATCAGATTGATTGTCCGATAACATAGAGTCCTGGTGTGGAGCTGTAGGATCAGCACTGGGCTGCTACCCACGAGTATGGAAATTTAAACCCACCAGCTACTTCTTGGAAACTCTATACAGGGTCATTATGAGTCAGAACTGATTTACAGCACTTAGGAGCTCTGGTAGCGTAGTGGTTACAAATCGGGCTGCGAACCTTAAGGTCAGCGGTTCGAAACTACCAGCCGAGAAAGATAAGGCTTTCTACTCCCATAAGGATTTACACCCTCGGAAACCCTGTACAGGGTCGCTATGGGTTGGAACCGACTCGATGGCACTTAACAACAACAACAACTTAAATAGCTAAACACATTCATTCACAATTTCAACATGAACAATCCAATAACTTGATTACAAACAACACTGTGTCATCATTCTATTTACATCTTTATAAATTCTCATCAGTGCTTTAGAGATCAACTGCTGTCAATATTTACAGTCATGTATAAGTTTTTATAAGCATGCTATGCTCAGGGCAAATATTATTTATTGGGCCAAACTCTTGTTCAGTTAAAAATAGCTTCATAGACGAGCTTTAGTTCAAAGTTTAAATATCATTTGCAGGCATTAGATTCAGGAGTTCCCCTAGTCTAATGGATCTGGTTTCTATATGAGTTTAACGTTCTGTGCTACATTTTTTTCTTTTTGATCAGGTTGAATTTATTGGGTCTTTGATCAACACATTCAATAATGGTAGCAAGGCAATGTCCATTTCTTAAAAAAAAAAAATCAATGAGTTACAAGATATAACGGGAGATTAGGCACAGAAGCAAGCTCAAATACAGAACAATTGATGCTATGTGAATATATGCAAATCTGCTGCATAAGCCTCGTTAAAATGTTCAAGAGCAAAGATGTCAGCAGGTTGAGGACTGAAGTGTGCCTGACCCATGCCATCATAGTTTTCAATAGCCTCATATTGCATGTGTAAGTTGGACAATGAATAAGGAAGACAGTAAAACAACTGATGCAGCATTTAAGTTATTGTGTTGGAAAAGAACATTAAAGTTAAAATGGACTGCCAGAACAAACAAATCTGTGTTGGAATAAGTACAACCAGAATGCTCCTTTAGAAACTGAGATGGCTAGACTTCATCTCTTACACTTTAGACATATTATCAGGAGGGTCTAGTTCCTGGAGAAGGACATCATGCTTGGTAAAGTGGAGGGTCAGCAAAAAAGAGGAAGACTCCCAATGAGATGGACTGGCACAGTGGCAGTTAACAATGGGCTCCAGCACAACAGCAATTGTGAGGATGGGACAGGACCTGGCGGTGTTTTGTTCTGTTGTACATAAGGTCACTATGGCTCAGAACTGACTCAATGCCATCTAACCACAATAACATGGAGATTACCATGAAAATGAAAAAGAAAAGCTGAAAGAGACATAGGGTTTTCAACAGAGCAGACAGAGAATGCCTTCCCTTAAAGCAGGCATACTGAAATCTGACTTTGAGCTTCCTAAAGGAGCTCTGGTAGTGTAGTGGTTACAAATCAGGCTGCTACCTCAAGGTTGGCAGTTTGAAACTACCAGCTGTTCCACGGGAAGAAGATGAGGCTTTCTGCTCCCGTAAAGATTTGCAGCCCAGAAACCCTGTGCAGGGTCACTATGTGTCAGAACTGACTCCACGGTACTTAACAACAACAAACTGCGACAATAAATGTTTGTTTTTTTAAAGCCATTCACTGTGCTATTTCTACTACAGCAGCACTAGGAAACTAAGACAAAGGGTGCTAGGAATTCACGTAATACGGGAATTTTTTATCCATTTCTTTAAACACATCTTCCTAAAAAGTTTACTATAAATTAGGCACCAATTGACTAATGGAGTTAACAGTAGTGAAATAAAGCCAATTCAAAGAATAACATTTGTTTTATATTGTTGTTGTTGTTAGCTGCCACTGAGTTAGTACTGATTCATAGTGACCCTATGCATACCAGAACAAAATACTGCCCAGTCCTACACCAACCACCTCACAATCGGTGCTGCACTTTAGCCCATTTTTGCTGCCCCTCAGTCTCCTTGTAGGTCTTCCTCTTTTTTTCCATCCCTCCACTTTACCAAACATTATTTCCTTCTCCAGGGACTGGTCCCTCATCCCAAGTATGAGAGACGAAGTCTGGCCATCCTGTTTTCTATGGAACATTCTAACTGTAATAGCTTTGTTTGTTCTTTTGGCAGTCCATGGTACTTTTAGTATTCTTCTCCAACACCACAACTCAAATGTAACAATTATTCTGTGGTCTTCCTTATTCATTGCCCAACTTTCACATGCATGAGGTTACTGAAAATACCTTGGGTTGGGTCAGGCACACTTTATCCTCAAACTGGCATCCCTGCTTTTGAACACTTTAAAGAAATATTGTGCTGCAGATGTGCACAATGCAATTGATTTCTTGACTGGTGCTTCCATGAGTGTTGATGGTTGGTCCAAGCAAAAAGAAGTCATTGACAACTTCAGTCTTTTCTCCATTTATCTTGATGTCATTTATTGGTTCAGTGGTAAGGATTTTTGTTTTGTTTACAATGAGGAGCAACTGAAGACTGTGGTCTTCGATCTTCATCAGTAAATATTTTAAGTCCCTTCATTTTCAGCAAGCAAGGTTGTATAATCTGCATATTACAGGTTTCTAATAAATCTTCCTCCAATCTTGATGCAATGTTTTTCATATAATCCATCTTCTCGGATTATGTGCTCAGCATACAGATTGAATAAGAATGGTGAAAGAATACAACTCTGGCAGACCTTTCCTAATCTGAAAACATTCAGTGATCCTTTGTTCTGTTCAAACAATTGCCTTTTGGTCTATGTACAGGTTCCTCATGAGCACATTTAAGTGTTAAAGAATGTGCATTCTCTGCAATGTTGCCCATAGCTTGTCCTGAGTCACACAATCAAAAGCCTTTGCATAGTCAATAAGGCACGGGTAAGCATCTTTCTAGTATTCTCTGCTTTCAGCCAAGATCCATCTGATGTCAGCAATATCTCTCTTTCCATGTCCTTGTTTGAATCCAGTTTGAACCTCTGGCAGTTCTCTGTCAATGTACTGTTGCAGCAATTTTAAAATTATCTTTAGCAAAATTTTACTTGCCTGCAATATTAATGATATTGTCCTATGATTTCCACATTCTACTGAGTCACTTCTTTTTGGAATGGGCACAAATATGGATCTCTTCCAGTCAGTTGGCCAGGCAGCTCTCTTCCAAATTTCTTGGTATAGAAGAGTAAGAACCTCCAGTGATGCATCAGTTTGTTGAGAATTTCAAACCGCATTTCATTTTCCAGAGCCTTGTTCTTTGCCAATGCCTTCAGTGCATCTTGCACTTCTTTCAGTATCACTGGGCTCTTGATCATATGCTACCCTATTGAAATGGTTGGACATCAACCATCAACCATTTCTTTTTTTTTTTTTTTTAATGTTTTAATGTGAATTATGTGATAGTTTACATGAGAGAACATTAGCTTTACATTCATCCTACCGTATTATTGTTTCATTGACATGGTTACAATCCCCTCTATGCATCATCAACCAACCAAAGGGTACACCCTGCAAGCCTGCCCCCCGGTTGTCAGCACACAGCTCCTCTCCCTCTCTGGGTCTAAAGTCCCCAGCTGCTCCATCTCTCCACGTCATCGTCTCTGCCTAACCATTTCCTTTTGGT